GATTGTTCCATTTAGCTGTGATGGTATTAGCTGTAACACAGTTAAACTCATGTAGAGTAAGATTCATATTATCAGTTGTGTAGGCAGAGCATCTGTAGTAGTTGTTGTGTGTAATCGTAGTGTTAGTAGTAATCGTAGTGTAAGTAACGGTCGTATTGTAAGTAAGGTCACTAGTGGCGTAAGTGATATTAGTATTGTAAGTAATGTAAGTATTGTAGATAATGTTAGTATTGTAAGAAGTCTTAGTAGTGTAAGTAATGTTAGTATTGTATGCAATAGTAAAAAAAAAAAAAAGAGAGAAGAGAGTTGAAAACACGACGCGTAGCGGAGTATTTTTTGACGAATTTCGAGGTGTTTGGAAAGGTGGTCAAACGCTGTCTTGAGTGCTTGATATATCTACTCAATCGAAACTAAAACTAAGGAAAAAACGGAATTATAAAATCGTAAAAATCTATGCCAATATAGATCATATATCCAAACACCGTCGCGGTCATAATTTCCTTTGTTTAAACTTGATAAATTATTAATGAGTTTGAGAAGTGGACGGAAAACATTTTGAAAACGGAGTTTTTCGAAAATAATGGAGTCACGACAATCATGTGATTTTCCTGTCCAATTTTTCCTCAGACGCAAATCCAAAATGACCGGTAATTTGTTGCGTTTTCACATTTTTCCGGCGTAGTGTGGACGGAAAACGTTTAATGCGTTTTCAGAGTGAAAACAGTGTTTTCACATTTTTCCATCGTAGTGTGGACGAGGCCCCAGAGCGACAACCAAAGTCGCACACTCTCGGGAGTGTATGACTAGAAGAGGGAGCCGAAATAGACGAAGCTTTACGGACGCCATTGCTTATGATTTTGCGTCAATAGTATATCGCATAGCGTTGCGTAGAGAAGGCATCATGAACGAACAAATGGATGCTAGTGGGTATTATGAGGCAAGGAGGGCAGTTGAGGTTTGATGTGAAACAAACGATGATAGAGAGATTTTGATTTAGAACGATAAAGTAAAACGGCCTTCATGTGGCAAACTAAAGTTGACAAACTCGTTTGGCAAATTTAAGTTGGTGTGCATGAATGGTACAAAAACAGTGGGCAAACACGTTGGCAAACTATTGTTGACAAGTACAACTTGCCTCTATTCTCGCCAACAATTTTCGCCAATTTTTTTGTGATGGTAAACACGTATTTCAACCAATCAACAAAATGGCAGACGAACGTGAGGCCACTTTTAAATTTATCGAAGACGTTCACATTTGTCCTGCTGTGTGGGACGTTTCTTCTCAGTGCAGCGTACAAAAATACAGATAGAAAAATAAAAACAACAACACATAACAGTTATCTCGTTCCCACGTTTCGTAGGCATCATGGGAACTGGGAAGCATTTAATTAGTGAGGCCACATCAAGTAAAGGGTAAAATAATTCCCAAGACCCGGCATGAACTCAATCTGAATCTTACATAATAACTGCTCGAATTTTTGTCATTCCTCCTTTATCAGTTTTACTGATCGCTAGAGATTGGAGACAAATTAAATGGAAAACAAATATACAATATACGAGTTAAAGCGCGCTATTTCGAACTCTCAGAGGGAAACGAAAAATACTGTAGTTCGAAATAGCCGATAGTAAATGACTGAAGAACAAATCCGAGGGACACGGTTCTTTAATTCGAAATTTCTAAATAATCGAGTTTGAATTAGCGGGGTCCAACTGTATTTAGATAAGAAAACAATTTCAATAAAAGCCACTAACAAGTCTTTACTAGGTTGGGAAACACCAGATGCTTTGCGACTTAATTCAGTTTCAAATTACCAGCTAGGAGGAAAACAACTCAATTATTCGCTAAAATTAATAACAGTCCAACTTTCTGAATCGGGCCAATTATAAGAAAGTTGATCAATTAAGACACTAACCGAGAACAATGGCTGGTGATTGTTTTCTTCAACAGACCAATGACGTTGAAACAACCAGACGATACTTCTAGAAATTTGTCCCTGTGAAAAATTAAAACTGACAGGCTTTCAGCGGGTTTGTTCACTTTAAAAGACAACATTCCTGTCAGTAAGATTACATAGAAAGCTTTCAACACTCTACATCTTAAACGATTTTGTTTTGGCTTTTTGCGTGTCGTTGACTAACCTAACATGAACATTAGCTGCTTGAACGAAGCGCTAAGCGGTGCCTCATCCATCGTTCTCTCATTGTGGTTCGCCTCCTCTGGTTTAGCAGCTGTCATTGGAAATGCAGTGGTGCTGTGGTTGTTCTACAAAAACGAGTCTTTACGAACAATTTCAAACCGGTTTTTAGCCTCTTTGTGCGTAGCAGACTTTACCGTGGGGCTTGTTATAGGCCCTACCTGGATAGCCATCAGATGTTGGATTCAGCCGCCAAGAGCCCACATATTGAGACAAGTTATAAACTTGTTCTGGATTCACACAACTGCCGCCACAGTGTTCAACTTATGTTGTGTTTCTGTAGACCGATTTATTGCTATTCGCTTTCCTTTTCGTTATCAGGACATTATAACCAAGCAAGGATGTTACGCAGTGCTTATAATGGTGTGGTTATACTCCCTGTTTGTACCTTTCTCCAGGATTTTGGTTGATAATCGGACCAACATTGAAAAACTGTGGTTTTCTTTAACATTTATAACATTTGTGCTTCCATTAAGTGTTGTCACTTTGTGCTATTTTTGGATTTTCAAAATCGCGAGGAAGCAATCTAGAAGAATAAAAAGGGAAAATCTGCAAAACTCTCAGGAAGACAGTTTTACAGTTGAAGCTATACAAAATCATAAAGCCATCAAAACCATTGGTTTTGTGTTGGGTGTTTTTATTGTTTGATGGATGCCTTCTTTAGTGGTTTCAGTTGTTGATTATGTAACAGCAGGCGACAAGTGCGTTGATCATAGACTGGTCTATGTTGTGTGGCCCTGGATTGAAGCAATCGCGTTTACATCATCAGCGATCAACCCGTGGATTTACTGTTTCCGAAATGGAGAGTTTCGCGAAGCTTTACGCCTGAATTTGCATCCTTGTCCATGCCTTCACTCAAGAACTTCGCCTGAACGTACAATAGAGTCAGATAGGCATAAGAGTGTGCAAATTGCAAACGCCTCTTTCCAGTTGAGGCAGTCAACTGTGAGATCAGAGACAGAGCACTGTGGACGATTCAAATGATACACGTTCACACATGCTTTATTTAATAAGCAGTAGGTTTGAGTTAAGGCAGCCAAACTTGATGTTAGGTTTAACGTCAGGTTAGGGTTAGGGTTAGGGATATCGCGGGAAGTATAAACCTAATACGCCAGATTATGTTCGAGGGGAACTCTCATTTTTCAATCTAATTTCAAATCGCGTTAAGACATGTTAAACATCTTGGGATATTTTCCTGCCATACGCGACAATCTTTACCTCGGTAAGTCCGAGTTGGCTCGCAAGGAGGGAAAGCGAGCGAGGGCCGGAGCAAGCGACTTCAGACCATCTGGGAATCAGAACAACAAGTTTTGGATTTGATTTTACTACATAAGAAATTCGAGTCAAAAACTTATTTAGTAAATTTATCGCGTGCAATAAAGTTGTAATCGTCTCAAACAGCCAGTGAACCAGACGTGGGATAGGGATGAAAAAAATTGAAACACCAGACTCTCTAAGCTCATGTAACTAAATGTGAGCAAATGCACTTACCTCAGTGCATATTATGTATATGCTTACTGGCTACGTTTAAGTTTTTCTTCACCTTCCACGCAAATAAATTCAAACATATGCATTTTTCTGTCATAGGTACGAGCAAAGATAATCAATACTTTTAAGTCAAGTTGGAGAGTAATTTGACACCGACATCAAATTGCATCCATTTTAAACAAGAAGTACTACTTTACTCTTTCATTTACATTTATAATGTGTAAAAAACGTTCAACTTGATATACAGGATATGGAATTCTAGGGCTTATCCTGAGAGTAAAGAGTTACGTTTCCATGTTTGCATTTAGTTCTGTAAAGACGATCAAGCTGACCAATCCTTTGAAGTTGTGTTGAAACACATTACCTTTCGATTACCTCGTTGTTTTAAAATATCTTTCTTTGAAAACCTCTGAACAAAGTCAATGACTCACATCGAAGCAAAATTCCATGTTTCCTCCTGGTAGGAATCTCGGCAGTTGCTTTGTGAAATTATCCCTATCTTTCATCTCAGAAAATCAACTCTAGAGACAGCTTCAGTATAGTTCAAGTTTTTCCCTTTTTAGTTAGCCTCCAAGTTGCTATTTTGTATGAGTTAAGACGCAAATTACAAATAATGTCTTGGAAGTAGAAGTGTGTGTCGTTTAGTTTCTTAGTGTTCCATATGGACCGATGATTGTTGCAAGGCATTGTGGTAAAACCTGAACATGTGGAACTGTGGTATAAAACGAATTCATGAATTTTGGTCCAAACTGAAAACTGGTAAAATCGAGTCCTTCATTTCCATTATCTCCTAATAGTATAACTGCTGCTTTGTTCTCTGCACTCGGTGCGTAGCGAAAACGGCTCTGACTAAAACGCTGCTGATCAGTCTAAGGCATCCATGATCACCCATGCTTGACAAGCGCGCCGGCTACTTTCCAGAGAAGATATAGTCCTCCGTACATAATTTAACGGCAAACTGCTTACCGGTAAACAACATTTAACGTTTGTTACAAAGCATAATTAGGCCAGCAGTCCATCTTTAAAGCGCTCCGTTTTGCTAAAGTCGTCCCGCTCAATACATTTCATCATGGTTAATTTGACCTTATATTCTCTGTGGCAAGCCGGCCGGCAGAGTTATAGAGGCGCCATCAATGATGACCGAAGGATTGGTAATTCCAAACTGGCCGCAAATAGATGGTGAGTTCTTTGTTTCTTGAGAAATTGCGGGAATGGATGATCCCAAGATAACAAATCTGTAGCACAAAACTGAAATCATGTAATTTGAAGGTTGTTCTTGAAGTAGTTTATCTGTTCTATCGGAACAAAATTTTTTTAGAGAAACGACGTTCTATTTTCTCCTAATGCGATCTGCATTATTAATATCTGCAATATTATTATGACTGCGTGGAAAAATTTAAGAACTTCTTTAGAAATTGTCGCGGAAATCAAAAGCGGTTAATCGATTTTAAACAATCTAAAACGCGATGCCTTGTCAATGGCTGACCGATCACTACAGAAGTGAGTCGTCCTTAATTTCTTATTCATTTAATCTATTCATACCTATTAAGAGTTCCAATTCTTCCAACGCCCCCCTCACTGGCAGACAAAACACTCCAGTGAACAAGCAATTCGTGTGCTGATGGCAGATGGCAGATGCAGACTTTTATTAGAGCGCGGTTTCTTCAAAGTGTTTTGTATGTTTACTAAAAAGTCTAAAAAGAACCGACATACATTGTTTTCAACATTTTGATTGGTCTTTTTTTTTATTCCAAGAGGTTCAAGTATTGGCGCAGTAATTTATTTGTGCGGTTAATTGAGTCGATCCTCACCTGTGGGTAATCTTACGCTGAATAAAGTTTAGATTCACCTGGTATTTGATGACAAAGAAAATGTTACTGGTCTACTTGTGAGTGACTTAAGAAAACTAGTTGTCTTATCTGAATATTACGCGATTTCTTCATAGATCAAATAAGTAGTGGTGTGCCTTGTGATTTTTTTTAACTCGTTCCTATAAAGAAAAATATTCGTTCCTGTTTTCTTCTGATCAGTGTATCAAATGGATTACTGAAAATTCAAGGAGACGAAGAGAATAAAATATACTGTGTTCATACGGGTTATTGGGGGAATGGTAATTATGTATATTATGTTGCGATGCCTTAACTACACTGAGTAAATTGAAGTTTGAAATATTATATACCATTTGTTTCGAGGATCGTCGCCATCGCTTTGGCACCAGCTAAAAGGACATTTCAATTTCGTCGTAATATTTATCAAGTTTTCATCTAAAGCCTGCGTTGGCTTTTACTCCAATTTATTTAACATCTACAGTTGACGCGAGTTAATCTTTTTCTTAGTCCTCCTCGAGTGAGCACAGCAATCACTTTCTATGAAACAAACTTGTAAAAAATATCTATTAAGCCTCAGTCTTGCAAGTTAATTTATACTAAGGATTTAAGAACACCCCTCATGCCCAAATTCAATGATGGACAAGAATGGTGTGTTTTAGTTTAAGCGCGAGTCATCGGTTCGGAGAGAGAAGTAGTTATATTTCACATTTTATATTCAAACCAGGATTGTAGATTGTTCGGTCGGTAGCTCAACTAGCAATTCCCCAATAACGAATCGAACAATACTTAGACAGCCTTAAGAGCGGATTTCATTTCAGTGTGGAAAAGTAATTGGTTTCGCATCATTACCCTACACGATTGGCTACATGTAATTACTCTGACTTTTGATTGGTTCACTGTGTTGTCTGTGCGCTTTGTGACTAGCTAGAGTGATTACTTTGGTTTTGGTCTTACGACAATTGTAACCCGCTCTATATGACTGTGTACACATCGCATGTCATCGAGAGAATAGGTAACTTGACAAGGATTTAAAACGAAATGAATTTTTTAATTAATTTCCAGACGACAAATACAATATAGTTTTTCTCTAATTTCTATTTGAATCCAGGGTAACCCACGGCGGTCGACACTCAAAATTGCAGTGCAAAACTTCGCGAAACTCTCCATTTCGGAAACAGTAAATCCACGGGTTGATCGCCGATGATGTAAGCGCGATTGCCTCAATCCAGGGCCACACAACATAGGCCAGTTTATGATCAACGCACTTGTCGCTTGCTGTCACATAATCTACAACTGAAACCACTATAGAAGGCATCCATGAAACAATAAAAACACCCAACACAAAACCAATAGTTTTGATAGCTTTGTAATTTTGCATAGCACGAACAGGAGCGTTCATTTTGTTGGAGTTTTGAAGATTTTCTCTTTTTATTCTGCTTGCTTGTTTTCTGGCGGCTTTAAAAATGGCAAAATAGCACAAGGTGACAACCGTTATTGGAAGTACGAAAGTAATAAATGTTAAAGAAAACCACAGGCTTTCAATGTTAGTCCGATTATCTACCAAAATCCTGGACAAAGGAAGAAACACTGAGATCAACCACACTATTATAATCACTGCGTAACATCTTTGCTTGGTCATAATGTCCTGATAACGAAAAGGAAAGCGAATGACAATAAATCGGTCTACAGAAACACAGCAGAGGTTAAACACTGTAGCGGCAGTTGTGTGAATCCACAGCAAGTTTATAACTTGTTTCAAAATGTGAGTTCTTTGAGGCTGAGTGGCAAATCGGATGGCTATCCAGACAGGGTCTATGACAAGCCCCACTAGAAAGTCTGCTACGCACAAGGAGGCCAAAAAGCGGTTTGAAATTGTTCGTAAAGGCTCGTTTTTGTAGAACAACCACAGCACCACTGCATTTCCAATGACAGCTGCTAAACCAGACAAACAGAGCCATAGTGAGAGAATGGTGGATGCCGCAATGCTCAGTCGCTCGTTGAGACAGCTCATATTCATGTTTGGTTAGTCTGCGAGAAAGAAAAGCCAGAAGTGGTCGAAGTTTGCCAATCCCGCGAACGCCACTCTTACAAATAGATTTAAGTGTAAGATAGAAATATTATTTTTTTGTCCGTAACGGCGAACAAACAATCTTACCATTTACATTGCTTGTTTTTTTTTTCATAGCATGCAGTTTCCTTAAAGCCATTGGCCTGTCAGCGAAAAGGATCCCCATCCATTGTTCTGAATTAACGATGTGATTGGTCAACTTCTCTGTTTTGAAGTAACTCGACTCAAATAGCCGCATTTTGATTTATGTCTACGGCTGTTTCGTGATGCTGGCTGACTAAAACTTCGAAACATCTGGCATTTGACTACATACTGTGAAATAACTTGTCGGCGGCTTTAAGTAAAATGGTTTTGTATAATTCACAGGTTAATATAATGCTAGCGGGTGCAAATCAGTTCGTTTAACTTTTTACTGACGTGTTGTGGACTAACCAAATAGTTAACAAGCGGTTGAAAACAAGCCAGACAGTTTTTGCTTATAGAGATGCTCAGAGAATTATTGTTATGTTGGCGTAAAAAGATCCCCAAATTAAAGTGAAAACGACGCCAAAAATTATATTAAAATGCGAAAGAAAAGTAAGATTTGGCCTGCACCTATGACTCTTATTGGCGGGGCTGGCTGAAACAAGGTGTTTCATAGAAATTTCGGCCCTCTGGTTTTATTCTAGAAGTGACTCAGTTAAATGACGCATTAAACTTAAAAATTATCTCTTTAATGGACAATGTTTGGAATTATTTCTAAAGAAACAACGTAGCTCCTCATTCGAGGAGTTATTACTTATTTCGACGATTTGGAAATGAGGCTCGTTCTGTGGTCACTGATGACTAGGCTAAAAACTTGACTGGTCGGCTTGTCACAGGGAACATAAATGGCAAATTAATTATTTGGCAAAAATAATTCAGGGATAAATGTTTTGGGCCCCTGATCGGTCTGAATTTTGTAATATGGACTGTTCATGGATTATTTTTGCTTAATTACGTCTCAAAAACATTGTAGAAAAGAAAACATCTTGCTGTTAAGAAGAAAGCTGTTTCTTCGTGTTTGCCTGACCAATAATTGCGAGAGATGTCTTTGAATTAATTGGTCAGCAAAGATAAAACAAAAACAATACAAACAAAAAAAAAACGAAAAAGGTGTCCTGATAAAATCTTCGAGCAAGGATCTTGTACGACACGTAACTCAACCAAAACTTGTAATTTCAGGAGCATTAAGCAGCGTAAAACACAAGTTTTTAAAACAAAGCTAGTTTTAGACGAATGAAATGAAACGAATCATTAATTTACATACAAGACGTACAATATCGTTTGAATCCTGTGCCGGAGATTGAGACACGGGATTTTTCACCTGAATGGAATATTTCATTTATTTTACAGACACCAAATACATTTAAGCATCGGAACTTTGTCTCGTATCTGATGCCTGGCTAGCATAAACCACAGCGCAAGAAATTTTACTCATATCTGATTTCAGACTGAGATCTGCTGGATCTCCTGAGAAAAGACATGAACACAGATGACAATTGAGGCGTAATGTATCTCGAAACTCTCCATTTCGGAAACAGTAAATCCACGGGTTGATCGCTGATGATGTAAATGCGATTGCCTCAATCCAGGGCCACACAACATAGGCCAGTTTATGATCAACGCACTTGTCGCTTGCTGTAACATAATCCACAACTGAAACCACTAAAGAAGGCATCCATGAAACAATAAAAACACCCAACACAAAACCAATGGTTTTGATAGCTTTGTAATTTTGGGTGTTTTGCAGAGTAATGCTTTCGTGGAAGTTGCGATGACTGTCCCTTCGTATCTTTCTGGATTGTTTTCTGGCGGCTTTGAAAATCCAGAAATAGCACAAAGTGACAACAGTTAATGGAAGAACGAAAACTATAAATGTTAAGGAAAACCACAGTTTTTCAACGTTGGTCCGATTATCAACCAAAATCCTGGAGAAGGGANAGTGACAACAGTTAATGGAAGAACGAAAACTATAAATGTTAAGGAAAACCACAGTTTTTCAACGTTGGTCCGATTATCAACCAAAATCCTGGAGAAGGGAAGAAACAGTGAGATTAACCACACCATTATAATCACTGCGTAACATCTTTGCCTGGTTATAATGTCCTGATAACGAAAAGGAAAGCGAATGGCAATAAATCGGTCAACGGAAACACAACATAGGTTAAACACTGTAGCAGCAGTTGTGTGAATCCACAGCAAGTTTATAACTTGCTTCAAAATGTGAGCTCTTTGAGGCTGAGTGGCAAATCGAATGGCTATCCAGACAGGGTCTATAACAAGCCCCACTAGAAAGTCTGCTACGCACAACGAAGCTAAAAAGCGGTTTGAAATTGTTCGTAAAGGCTCGTTTTTGTAGAACAACCACAGCACCACTGCATTTCCAATGACAGCTGCTAAACCAGAGGAGGCGAACCACAACGAGAGAACGATGGATGAGGCACTGCTCAGTCGTTCGTTGAGGCAGCTCACATTCATGGTTGATAACTTAACTAAACCAACAGCCTATTGTTCAGAAAATGATTGTGAAGAGTCTTCAAAGTTTGCCAATCTTTTCTATACCGCTCTTACCAGAAAATAAAGACATCCATTATCCTTTTCGTTTTAACTTGACGAACCCACAGAAAGCTTGCTTTATTATTTTTAGAAAGCATTTCATTTGTCGAAAACTATCGCCATCTATTGCTCTCAGTTGACGTTTTAATTGGCCAACTTTCTTCCAATTGGCTCGGTTCAAGGACTCGTACCCTCGTTTATTTTATGAATTATTTTGTGAATAATCCACTTAGTGGGTAATTTGAGGCTGAATAAAATCTCCTAACACCTGGCATTTGACTGTATATCGACAATACAGTTGTCTGGGCCTTTTGGAAATAGTTTCTAAGCAGTAAATACATCATTTTTCACCCGGGCGTGGGGGGGGGGGGGGGGGGGGNAAGGCTCAAGTTTGTATAGACAGTTATGTATCGCTTCAAAAGTTTATAAAGGTTTTACTAGTGTACATGTACCGCAGAATTACTGGCTAATGTCTCCGAATATTAGGTGAGGTACAATACATACTGGGCGCAGCGGGGTCCGTAAAAAAACGACGTAGGGCCAATATTTCCCAGTAAATCTCTTGGAAGCTAAGTTAGTGAGTAGTTTATTATCTGGCACGAAAACAACAACAACAACAACAAAAAAAACATACTCGGCTTATGATGGAAACGGTCCGTATGGGAAAATCCCGACCTTGAAAGAGCCAATCAGAACGTTCAGATTTACCCCAAGTCTGCTTTGTCATATAATATATAATTAACAATTATTGGACGAATTTGAGCAAAATATCGTGATTTGTCAGTGGCGAGCAGATCAATTATTTGCCAAAGCCTTAGGCTTAGCCAAATTGTTGATCTTCGAGACACTGACAAATCGCGATATTTTGTGATAACCAATTTCAATAATTGTTTTAACATTCGATTAAATAGTTTGTTTTCATATTTAAGTCACTCCTTGACAATTCAGGGAAGCGATCTGCCATTTTTCGCGCAAGAGCGCCACAAGAGTGTGGTCACAATGACGCAGAATTTGTTGCAAAACACATTTACACGGTCTTACGCGATCGTGATTAAAACACCATACGAGTACATACGAGCAACACACGGATACATAAGAGTACATAAGAGTGACATACGAATACATACGAGTAACATGCGAGTACACACGAGTGACACACGGATACATACGAGTACATAAGAGTGACATACAAATACATACGAGTAACACACGGATACATACGAGTACATAAGAGTGACATACGAACACATACGAGTAACATAGGAGTGTATACGAGTAACACACGGATACATACGAGTTCATAAGAGTGACTTAGAATACATACTAGTAGTAACATACGAGTATATACGAGTGACACACGGATACATACGAGTACATAAGAGTGACATACGAACAAATACGAGTAACATACAAGTATATACGAGTAACACACGGATACATACGAGTACATTAGAGTGACATAAGAACACATACGAGGAACATACGAGTGTATACGAGTAACACACGGATACATACGATTTCATAAGAGTGACATACGAATACATACGAGTAACATACGAGTATATACGAGTAACACACGGATACATACGAGTACATTAGAGTGACATACGAACACATACGAGTAACATAGGAGTGTATACGAGAAACACACGGATACATACGAGTACATAAAAGTGACATACGAATACATACGAGTAACACACGGATACATACGAGTACACAAGAGTGACATGCGAAAACATACGTATATAAGAGTAACATACGGATACATACAGACAAGTACAGTAACATACGGGTTATAAATGGATTTTAAATGTACTTATGTTAAGAGAATAACCAAAATTTGCAAATTTGAAAGAAAGTTAGACTGTTTTACCCCTCACTTGAGGAAAGGGAGAGGGGTTCAATTCATTAAATGAAAAGATCCCCCCCCCCTGTAACAACACGCCACGCACACCCCCCGAAGCTTTCACTATGCTATTACTTCGAGGAGAATAATTCTATGAGACATTTGGGCGCGTTAAAACTTGTGTGCAATTATCGTAACCTGCGTTTATTGAACGCGCAACGTCGCATATCGTATCAGCTCTCACGTTTGTTTGTGTGTGTGGAGTGCGTATTGCGTACATATGTATGTGGCACACGCACATGTGTGTGGTACCCGCGCATGTGTGGCACTAGTCTTGCACGGGCTCGCATATCGTATGTTGCTCCTATGCATTTGTATGCATTCGTATATAACCAATGTATGTAACCTGTATGTTACCGTATGTGCGTCTGTATGTATCAGTATGTTACTCGTAGACCATTATTTGTAGCAGTTACTTGCAGGTCACAAGGGAGGCTCTCGGCCAATAACAAGAAAGAAAAAATGCAACGAATAATAATAGTAATTACTGGCGTGAATAAATTTGTTCAGAGGGTTGATAACTAAAATAAATCAATCAGAATCCAAGATTTCACCGGGCACCATCCCAAATGATCCCGCGCGGTTCTCTACTTCTTCTTTTTTTTTGTTAATTTACTTTTCTAACCGAATTAACGTAGACGTAAAAGATACCTTTTCTTTCCCGACTACGACTACCATGATTCCCTGCAGGTATGTTTCATAGAGTGAATTGGCTATTGAAAGTTGTAATTCGATACCTGTGAGGTAAAAAAGGTTAAGTCTGCACGCGAGCCAAGTGGCCCACCAGGCCGGAGCTTATCCCGGTTTCTGTAACATGAAGCCACTAGGAGTATNGTGGAGAGAGGCACTGTGGAAGTAAAGTGTCTTGCCCAAGAACACAACACCATGTCCCCGGCCAGGGCTCGAACCCCGACCGCTCGATCCGGAAACGAGCGCACTAACCATGAGGCCACCGCGCCTCCCATAATTGGATACCTGTTATTGGAGATAATTGGATAAGACGTCATTTTCGTGACAAATGGGGGCGCGGAGAACCAGTCGCGATTGAGAATCTTGTTCTGGATACGATAAACAAGCACATCTTATTGTAGATGTAGAGTGACAAGTGTTTTTAGTTACTTTTCAAGCACTTTTAAAAGTTCCAGTTCTCTGGGAGGTCTCTAACTAATTATCCATGACAACAGAGACACATATTGAAAAAGTTGAACACTAATTTTTTTGTTTGCAATCTTCCAATTTTTTCATGTCCTCCATTTTACGCAATGTAAAAACAGGGCTATTCATATTAACGCCCGAGCAATCCGCACAAACAACCATAAAAGTGGTGAATAGTATTATTCATGTTTTAAACAACAGGGGCTTGGACGACAAGGAAGAGACTCGACTAAGGCTTCTTGGAGCGTTTTAGACCGTGAAGAAAACTAAAAGAAACAGGAGATTGAGCTCAAGCGTTAGCAGCCGGAGCCAGCTGCTTGGGAGTTCTTGGGGCTTGTCAACATTGATACAGGAGCGAAGAACTCAGGCTGGCTGGGTTTTCATAGAACAAGCAACAGAGAGACAAGAGAAAGAATCGCGGTCCATGCTACGTAGAGAAATGCTACTTAATCTGACGAGGAGTTAACAGTCGAAACGTCATCCTCTCAGAATAACCCTCTAGGGCGTTGTTATATGAATTTTTTTATTTCGTGATTTTGAGGAGTGCATATTTCGCGACACTTAAATTCCGCGTTTTTGCAAAAATTTTGTATTTTTAATCACTTTAACTTCGCGTTTTTGAGAAACACACAATTTATTTCCTCGGCGATGTTTCTTTAACGTGTCCTTGAATTTAGTAAACCGACTCTATTAAAAGTACAATAACGTCAGAATTAACAAAAACGCAAAGGTGG